GCCCGGCTGCCCCGCGCGCCGCCCCCGCCGCCCCGGGGGTCCTCACCTGCCAGCACGCCTTCGGCGGCTGGGGGACCCTGGTCAACCCCACCGGGCTGGCGCTGTGTCCCAAGACGGGGCGGGTCGTGGTGGTGCACGACGGCAAGAGGAGAGTCAAGGTCTTCGACTCCGGGGGAGGCTGTGCGCATCAGTTTGGAGAGAAGGGGGATGCTGCCCAGGACCTTCAATACCCGCTTGACGTCACGGTCACCAACGACTGCCACGTGGTCGTCACCGACGCCGGCGACCGCTCCCTCAAAGTGTTTGACTTTTTCGGCCAGATCAAACTCGTCTTGGGAGGCCACTTCTGCTTGCCTTGGGGTGTGGAGACCACCCCGCAGAATGGAGTCTTGGTCACGGACGCGGAGGCGGGGTCCCTGCACCTCTTGGAAGTCGACTTTCCCGAAGGGATCCTCCGGAGGACCGAACGGTTGCAGGCTCACCTGCGTCGCCCGCGGGGGGTGGCGGTGTCCTGGCTCACCGGGGCCATCGCGGTCCTCGAGCACCCGCTGGGGCCCGGCGCCTGCAGCAGCACCACGGTGAAGGTGTTCAGCGCCACCATGCAGCTCATCGGCCAGGTGGACTCCTTCGGGCTGAGCCTCTTTTTCCCTTCCAAGATCACCGCCTCCGCCGTGGCCTTCGATCACCAGGGCAACGTCGTGGTGGCTGATACTTCCAGTCCGGCTGTCCTCTGTCTAGGCAAACCGGAGGAGTTTCCAGTGCTGAAGCCCATCATCACCCACGGTCTTTCGCATCCCGTGGCGCTGACCTTCACCAAGGAGAGTTCTCTTCTTGTGCTGGACAGCGCGGCCCATTCTGTAAAAGTCTACAAGGCTGACTGGGGGTGACGGGGTGTGCTGGGAGTCCTGGGACCTGTGCCAGAAGCCCTGGAGCCGCCCCTGTTGAGCCCTGGATCAATGACTTAATCTTATCTGTTCGACAGAGATGACTGTAGCTGCCTGGTAGACTTAACAAAGGTGGGGGCCATTATTAAAGAATAATAATGAAATCTACCATTGATGGATTATGTACTCAGTGCTAAGAAATTTGTGAATATTAGCGCCTTTAATCCTTTCAACGACCCAGTGGTAATTTCTATTATGAATCTCATTTTAAAGATGAGAAAACTAAGACCCAGAGAACTAAAGAGATTTACCCAAGGTCACATTTATTTACTCTGGCAGTCACAAATGGAACTCAATTCTGACTCCAAAACCCCTTGCTCTTAAATAAGACAATAGATGTGGAAAAATATATATGAGTGTATATTGTTGCTACATGCACTCTATTTACACGTAGCTATTTACTTAGAGGCACAGAGCAGGAAACTTCATAGAGTTCAAGAGAAAAAGGATTTTGTGGTGGATGTCAGTTTAGTTCAACGTACAATTCCTTTGATGGCTCTTTAGATGGAGCTACTGTGGATCCTGAGTTACTTGAAAAACAAAAGCAATCAGCTTTGCTTATTCAAAAGGTCAACACTTCTCTTAGTACCTGTATCTCGTCTGCTATAGGCACATAGAAAATACTACTTGGTTGGTTGAGAAAGGTTTGTGTTTTTTTTGTTTGGTGTTCTAAGAAATCTTAATCAAGATAAATAAGATTTTTTTTTTCTTATGTTTTCTTCTACAAGTTATATATTTTTGGGTGTCCCATTTCGAGTTGATTCCTGTCTATGACATGAAGTATGGGTTGAGGTTAACTTTTTTTTTTTTTTTGGCATGAGGTTGCCCAATTATTCCAGCACTATTTGTTGAAAATATTTTTTTTGCGGGGGTGCCTCCTTGTGGCATGAGGGATCTCAGTTCCTTGGCCAGGGATTGAACCATGCTCCCTGCATTGGGAGTGCAGTCTTAGCCTCTGGACTGGGAGGGAAGTCCCCGAGAAACACTTGTGTTGGTGTAAGTTCTGAACTCCAGTGGAATGCTCTATACATGTACTTGTGTTAGAGGGCTGGATGGTATTTCTGTTAATATAATACAGAGAAAAGTCACCACAGTCAGTTCATGGCAGAAATTATTTTGCTTGCCTTTTTATGATCAGTGGTAATCTGAAGAACTTTTGTGATGGCGTTTTTATCTGTCCATCTAAATCTGTCCCACATGTTGCAAACACCAGACACTCAATAAATAATTCCTTTGATCCTAAGTTGGTATTTAACCAGTGACAAATCCCTCTTGGTTCAGACAGTAAAGAATCTGCCTGCGATGCAGGAGATAGGGGTTTGATCCCTGGGTCAGGAAGGTCCCCTGGAGAAGGGAATGGCAACCCACTCCAGTATCCTTACCTGGGAAATCCCATGGACAGAGGAGCCTGTCAGGCTACAGCCCGTGGGGTTCCAAAGAGCCAGACATGACTTCGCAACTAACACTTCCACTTTTCACTTTCAGACACTTTAACTACTTCTTGAATTGAAGTGATGGCTTGACCAAGGTGATGCCTGCTTTAAGGTTGCATTGATTAAGTGAATAGGTGGAGATTTCAGGTGAAGCTTATAGAAGCTGTGTGTCTAGCTGGTGTAAACATTTCAGAGTTGAGGACTGTTGGAAAAATACCAAATAGCCAGCGTCTCAGAAGCAGTAGCAAAACTTTTTCCTGAGGGAGGAAACAGTGGTTTTGAAAAGTGAGGGTCTGCATTAGGTAATAACTGATGCTTTATCAACAGTAGGATTCTCATTTACAAAGCATTTTCATAGATATAATGTACATTCTAGAAAAAGATTGTAGTTCTTTGAAGCTAAAAGAGAGAGCTAGGCTCCTGCAACAGTTCACAGAAGCCCATTTTGCCTCAATGCTCCCATCATGGAGCACTGACACGATTTCAGGCATCATGGACCAACCACCATCTGTAAATGTATCATCCCAAATAGGGGTTCTGGGAACAGCCCCCACCTCCCCCACCATCACCCTATCCTTAGAAATCATCCTCAGGTCAGCGACATCACAAGTATTCTGAGTTGTCTCAGGTGGAGATGCAGGTTCAGACTTGGTCATTTGTGAGCAGGGCACCGTGGATTGATGTTACAAATGTTTTCCTTGGGAACAATGACATTTTAAGGCCTCCGGGTTCTTTGAGCCAATCAAGAGACCTTCTCTTATTTGGAATCATCGGTGGTATCATGTTTGGCTCTAGAGCTGCATGTATGTCTTTTTTCAGGCCAGGTGTGGAATACATGCAGCACATATCGAGAGATCTCGTTATCATGTGGATTACCCAGCCAGAAGAGTGGGGTGTGAGCTCCCAAGATGACATGGGAACGAATCAGAGAGGTGATCACAAGTGGTCTTGTTAACGGCTACCTCTCCTTGGTAGATGATCAGGCTGCGGATAGTGAGCAGGGTTTCCGAAGACACAAGTTTTGCTGTTTCTAATTCACAGGCATGCACATGCTAAGGGGATAGGTTCAGTAACCTGTAATGGAGATGCTAAATTCACCTTCTGGGCCGTGCTCTTTAAAGCAAGCTGGTCTAAGCGCTCGAGCCCCACTCCTCTGAATACTGGGTTGTTAGAGGAAATGGAGAGTGTGAGATGGGCCAGAGGAAATCATCGCAACAGAAAGAAAGAGGTCCCTCAAAACTGTGCCTTTTGCAGAGACCTGGATGGACCTAGAGTCTGTCATACAGAGTGAAGTCAGAAAGAGAAAAGCCAACACTGGATATTAACGCATATGTGCGGAATTGAGAGAAACGGTACCGATGATCTTATTTGCAAAGCAGAAATAGAGACACAGACATAGAGAACAAACATATGGCTACCAAGGGGGAGAGGAGGGGGCAGGATGAACTGGGAGATTGGATTGACTATATATACTGTTGACACTGTGTATAAAGTAGATAACTAGTGAGAACCTGCCGTGTAGAACAGAGAACTCTCCTCAATGCTCCCTGTGACCTAAATGAGAAGGAAATACAAAGAGGTGGATACACGTAACAGCAGCTGATCCCCCTTACTGTACAGAGGGACTAACAACCTTGTAAAGCAACTACACTGCAATAAAAATCAATAAAATTTAAAAAAAATATGAGGTTCCCAGGTGATGGAGGAGAGTTGGAATGCCTCTCCAGAGGTCAGAGACAAAAGAACTCAACCACAAATAACTGGAGAAGGAAAAGGAATGGACTTTTCCTGAAAATCCCCCTCAGTCAAACACCTTTAGGCCAGTGCTACCCACCACCCCTCGCCACCAGGTACGTCTATAAAAGCAAGCAGAGGCCCAGTCAGCAGCACCCGCGACAGCGTCCGTTTGTTCTTGTTTTGCCCAATTCCTGAGGCTCGGACTGTCTCCTGGTTTGGCCTTGTTCTGCCCTCTGGACTTGATTTTCAGTCTTCTTCCTTGGCGTTTCCTAAGGCCTGTGGCTCAGAGTCACACGTCTTCCCTCCACTTAGACACACTCTCTCTGGATCCCAGGACCCAAAGCATCGCAACTTGTCTGTGCCTCATCCAGACTTTCCCTGGTGAGTGGGGTGAAGACCTCACTGAAAGTGCATTATGTGCCTTTTGAGGAAGTATTCCATATACCTCGGAAAAATGGGGAGGACCCACTGATGATGGCAGTTTAACCATCCTCCACCCGCCACCAAGAGACAAGAGGTAGGCAGGTGGCTAGGGCTCCACTAATAGCGACCGCTCTGGCGCTTCTGGGGCATCCCTGGTAGCTCAGTCGGTAAAGGAGACTGCAATGCAGGAGACCCAGGTTCGATCCCCGGGTCAGGAAGATCCCCTGGAGAAAGAAATGGCAACCCACTCAAGTATTCCTGCCTGGAGAAATCCACGGACAGAGGAGCCTGGTGGGCTACAGTCAATAGGGTCACAAAGAGTTGGACACAACTTAGCAACTAAACCCCCACCCCCCTGGTGGTGTACTACGGTTGATAAGGAGATGAAGTGTCTTCTTGAAGACTATATAGAAAATATGAGGGAGGCTGACAGGGCTCACCACAGTGACTGTGCTGAGCCGTCCTGGTTGTCTACCATGCCCACCGCCCCTTCTGAGCAAAACCCACCCCCCCCGCCCCCCACAGGCCCTGCTGATGAGCTGGCCCTTGGCCGCCGTGTTTCCTACTGGCTGACCCTCTCTACCCATAGCTAATTGGATAGGAGTGCCCACCAGTATGANCTGATGAGCTGGCCCTTGGCCGCCGTGTTTCCTACTGGCTGACCCTCTCTACCCATAGCTAATTGGATAGGAGTGCCCACCAGTATGAAGAGCAACCTGTCCATCAATGTCCCGCCAAATATTCAATTAGATCAAGAAGCTAGCCTACGACTTGGCCTCAGATGAACAGTTTTCCTCAAAAGGGACAAGGAGATCCAATGAGATTCTTTTCTTGAAGTGGCAGGATTGCCTTTTTTTTTTTTTAATTGAAGTGTTGTTAGTTTTATGGGCTTCCTTCTTGGCTCAGTTGGTAAAGAATCTGCCTGCAATGCAGGAGACCAGGGTTCAATTCCTGGGTCAGGAAGATCCCCTGGAGAAGAAAATGGCAACCCACTCCAGTATTCTTGCCTGGAGAATCCTGTGGACACAGGAGCCTGGCAGGCCACAGTCCGTGAGGTCACAAGAATCGGACACAACTTAGTGACCAAACCACCACCAGAGTTGGTTTACACTGTTGTTTTAGTTTCAAATATATAGCAAAGTGATTCAGTTATACATGCATCTTTTAAAAATTCTTTTCCCTTATAGGTTATTATAAAATATTGAGTGTGGTTCCCTGTGCTGGGTAATCTATTTCCATTTTCAAACCGCTGATGGATAAATCTGGAGGGACTAAAAGTGATGATACAGGAAGGCCAATTCCATTCCATTTTGGAGTTAATTTCCGCAAAATTGTACCAGTCCCCTCTGGTGGACACTAAAATGTAAATCTTAAAATTAGTAACTTTTCTTCTCTGACCAGTCAGTGAGAAATACATTATTTGAATTTGTTAAATTTGCTAGCAGCACTGTCTGTACAAGTTGAACACATGAGGATATTCAGATGCATTCTGATTATAGACAAAGCCTATTAACTCATAAGGGTTTTGGGGAAGAGGAGAGAGTTATGTCTTTGTCAGGTTTTACCTTTAGTGTTGTGCTGGCCTCATACAATGAGTTGGGAAAGTTCCTTCCAGCTTTNAGGATATTCAGATGCATTCTGATTATGGACAAAGCCTATTAATTCATAAGGGTTTTGGGGAAGAGGAGAGAGTTATGTCTTTGTCAGGTTTTACCTTTAGTGTTGTGCTGGCCTCATACAATGAGTTGGGAAAGTTCCTTCCAGCTTTATTTCCTGAAAGAATTTGTGTGACAGTGTTGTCATTTCCTCTTAAATGTTTGATAGAGTTCATCAGTGAAACCTAGTGGCCCAAGAAATTTCTTGATGTGTGTACGTTCAGAGTTTACGGTTGTTTTCTGTAGAAAGATGGGCAAGTTGGAGCTTATTCAATCATACTGAAACAGGAAGTTAATCAATTAAAGAAAACCTTTTAAATTTCTTTGATTTTTTTGGCAAGTATTTTATCATTGAGTATTTCCTGTGTGCTCATTTTGTGTTGAGCAGGGTGCGAAGCTGTGAGGATGTGAAGGTTCCCAGGTGCTGATGGTCGGGGGTCGGGTGTAGAGATGGACAAGCTAATCAGAAGAATACGGCACAGGATGGTGAGTGCTCTGGAAAGAACATGCTGGGGGGTGGGGCTGGGGGAAAGGGGCCCAGTGGCCAGAACAGAACAGATATTGGAAGAGATGACATCACCCTAGGATTCCAGATTGATTCATTCCAAATTGATTGATGTCATCAATGCTGGTCACTTCATCCAAAACAAACTAAAAAACTAAAAGTAAACATTTGTCTTTAAGTATTGATTCTTCCTGGTCCCGGCGTTAGGATCTATTTTTCTGTCACTGTGGCCTGTCAGCGTTCGGGGACCATGTAAAGAAGGCAGGATGACAGCTGACGGTCAGTGATGCTCAGCTGAGTTTTTGAGCATCTCGGGGTATTTTTTGATATTTTTACATTTAGCTAAACACCACAGTAGTAAGTGTATTCTAAAAAGGTCAAAAGTGCCCTCTTTGGACAATGCTCATTTGTTGTTACAATGAAATCCTCCCCGCAGTGAAACATTTTATAATCCTCTCCCACATTTAGTCCTTTCCCATCATTGTGGCGGTGACAGATTTTATGGGAGGAGGAGTCACGTGGACGTAACACGCACTTCCCTGATACAGAGACGCTTGCTATTGGAAGTGTCCTCCTGTTTCCTGTGGTTTGACACCTCTCAATGCTTGGCACCTGCTTCGTTGTTAAGTCAGGACCTTGCTGGGCATCTTGGCACTGATTACTCGAGTCGTCCCCTCCCCCAGCTTCAGCCACTCAGGCGACATCCCTCCTGATCCCATCCCTAACCGGTCAAACAGAGGCACAATATTCAAGAGAAAGACACTGCAGCTTTCACCTGGAGCTATTTTTCATGAATCGTAGACTGTATGTCAAAAGAGGCCAGAAACAGGGACTACTTTCAAAGAACCAAGATGGAGAAACATGAAACATTACAAGAGTTTTGGCTCCAAGCACCCAGCACTTGGTCAGAATATGAGAAAAGCTTCTCCAATTATTGAGGATTAATTTGATGGGATATTTCACAACTGAGTTCGGAAGTATTTTGCGGGGGCTGGGGGATACAAGGACATGTGTCTATAAGATCCTATCTTTGTTGTGGAACGTGCCAAATAATTTATGAATACTGCTTAGCACCATCTCTTCTGTACACACCATCAATGAAAGGCTTCCCATCAGGACGTGACCTTTGCTTGGGTTCCATGCTCTCTCTCCCAGCCAGGTCGACTCATTACCGTCTCCCTCACTGGGAAAAGGGCTCCTGCCTGCAGCTCTCCGGTGGACACACTCTGAAGTTGGCCCCTGTCCCCCCAGGAGCAGTATAAGAGGCTTCCAGTTAAAGGCTTTCCTGTCTGGTGCCTGGGGCCTGCCATCCAGGGCATAGGCCTCACCACTGGCTCCCATCTAGGCTCCAGGGGCAGCCTGGACTTGGCTCTTACCTTCAGCACTGTGGTACCAACCCAGATATGACATCTGGGCCCCAGCTTTGCTCTCGTTCGGCTGCTGTAGGCATCCTTGCCTCCATCCTTAGCTGTGACCCACGGTGACCCTTTCTGTCTTACCTAATGCTGTTAGAGACCAGGGAGTATATGAGGTTGAGTTTTTTTAGACCGTTACTGGGACAGAGGCAGAGGATAAGAGAGTAGCAAGTGGAAACGGTACCAAGAATGAATGGCTTCTCATTGGATGCAGAGACTCTACACCGGGTACCAGCCTTCAGTTCTTACACAGACTCATCTCATCCTCATCATAGCCTAGGAAATATTGGGTTGGCCAAAAGGCTGATTCGGGTTTTTCTGTGAGATGTTATGTATGTCCATAAGATGCTTTCCATAATGTCTTACAGAAAAACCCAAAAGAAACTTTTGTCCAACCAGTAGTTGCTATTGGCACTTTTACAGGTGGGAAAACTGAGGCACAGAGAAGCTAAGTAATTTGGTTAAGGTCACATAGACAGACAGTAGATAAACTGTTTAATCTTTCTGATCCTTGGTTTCTTTCTGTAAAATGGAAATTTAATAGTACCCACTTTCTAGACTTGTGAGACCTACATAAGTTTATGCGTGTGCAGTAGAACATACGATAGGTGTTCAGTCTCTCATTATTTTGCCTGAACTATTTTGGGGTAAGGCAGTACCCCTGTTTTTAAGCACAGAGGTTAGTGATCATGAAGCTTAGACCTGCAGGAAGCCATCTGTGCTCGAGTGTAGGGAGAACGTGCCCAACAACAATGCCCGTAGAACAGAAAGCAGAGCTGAAAGCCGGAGGAAGATGACATCCGTGTAACATCAGTTTTTCTATTCCTAAAGCTGGGCATCACCCTGGATGTCATGTATATCTGAGCTGACAAGTTTTCTGTTCTAAAACAAGTTTGAGTTGTGTGTCTGTGTTGTTGTTATTGTTTAGTCGCTCAGTCGTGTCCGACTCTTGCGACCCCGTAGACCGTAGCCCTCCAGGCTCCTCTGTTCATGGGATTCTCCAGGCAAGAACACGGAGTGGGGTGCCATTCCCTTCTGCAGAGCTTCTTCCTGACCCAGGGATGGAACCCACGTCTCCTGCATTGGCAGGTGGGTTCTCTACCACCGCGCCACCGGGGAAGCCAGCTGGGTGTCTATGACTTTCATCTAAAGGAGCCTCAGGAGAGTCCAAGGTCAGGCTCCTAGAAGCCGTCATGTATTCATATTACAAGGACTTTGCTTTACACCCTATGTCGAGGCAGCACAAAGCTGGCTTTCAGTCTGTACTCAGAGACCCACAATAGAAGAAAATGATTGGCTCCTTTGAGTTTTGAGTGAGGTGTCAAACTACTAATAAGTTGTTGGACTTTTTTGTTTGTTTGGCCACACCATGTGGCCTGTGGGATCCTAGTCCCCCAACCACTTCAGTTTGAAATGCAGACTGTTAACCCCTGGACCACCAGGGAAGTCCTTACGCTGTCTGATTTTTTTTTTTTTTTTTTTGAGGAGTGGGAGAGTCACCTGCTACCCATTGAAAGGATTTTTTTATTTTTTTTTGGATTATCAGAGCTCCTGTGATACAAAAGGTTTTCAAGTTTGGTAGGATCATAGAAAGGGCTTCCCAGCTGATGCCATTGTAAAGAATCCACCTAGCAGTGCAGAAGATGTAAGAGACACAGGTTCAACCCCTGGGTCAGAAAGATCACCTGGAGTAGGCAATGGCCACCCACTCCAGTATTATTATCTGGAAAAAAAAAAAGATATGGAATGCTTCAGGAATTTGCATGTCATCCTTGCTCAGGGGCCATGCTAATCTTCTCTGTATTGTTCCAGCTTTTAGTATATGTGCTGCCAAAGCGAGCATCCGCTCCAGTATTCTTGCCTGGGAAATCCCATGGACAGAGGAGGCTGGCGGGCTACAGTCCTCGGGGTTGCCAAGAGTCAGACATGCTGAGCTGGAGCACCCCCACACAGCCACATACACAGGGTAACAGAAATCTTGATGCATAAGTCCTTCACTTTCTAAATAAGTAAATTGAAGCCTGGAGAGGTTAAGTAACTTGGATAAGTGATTAATCTTCTTAGGAGAAAAACCAGAATTCTAAACCTTGCTGCCATTGGAATTCTCTCTGATTTTTGGATTTTCAGCAACATAAACTGCACACAGTGTTTTTTCTACATAGATATGCAGAATCGGAGAGTCAGCAGCTGATGTCAGCTCTCCTGACTCCTAACCAAGTTTGGTTTTCCCATTGTTATCATGCTTTTTCCTACAAGTAAACACTTTTCTTGTAACCAAGGTATTTACTTATCTTACTGTAATGTATATAAGCATATGACAAACATACAGTGTAGAATTCTAGCCCTATAGGATGTTACCAGGGGGTAATGTGGAAAAAGAGGTTCAGTATTTAATTAAATTTATGAGTTAAATGGGTTTCTTTATTGCAATAGATCTCAAAGCCATCAATAAGCTATTTTGCAATATAAATCACAAAAATAAATTGCAATATAAATTCAACATAAATTGCAAAATAAAGGGNCAGAAACGACTGAAGCGACTTGGCAGCAGCAGTATATCCACACCCCAAGGTGGGCTTGTGGGAAAGAGCAGCTCGTACCGATGCCTTCCAAGGCCTGCCCAGAAGTGCCAAGAGAGCCGCTGTCCCCCTTTGTTGAATCCTCCTCACCTTTCCAGGAACAGCCCAGCAGTGAAACTTCTCTGCATATTATCCAGCCATCGGAGGTTCTCTCCAGACATGAGGTGTCTCACCAGCAAGCCAGTTCCAGCCCCATGTTCACCCTTTTCTCTCCAGACACGGGAGCTCGGTGTCCAAGGTGACATTTACACTTTCACTGTGCTCTGCATTGTTGCTCCTGCTGTGGTTTGGGCACTGCTTGCGGGATCTTAGTGCCCTGACCAGGGATTGAACCCGTGCCCCCTGCAGTGGAAGCCCAGAGTCCCTACCACTGGACCCCCAGGGAAGTCTCAGCATTTATACTTTGACTCGGAGACTCAGCCTCCGGATTAAGGGCCCCAGCAGTTAACTCTGAATGTGTTGCTGTCTTCCATCTTTCTCAAGTGTTCTGTGTTTTCTACATCTGCCTTATTGTATCCACAAAATTCTAGCAGTAATTCTGAACATACTTTACACATAGGTATGATTTCTCTTCATTTAGAGTGGTAAGATTTAAAATCCCCTAATTTTCAAGGTTCTTTACAGACTTCATGGTAGAGTTTCGAGGAGTACCATGCTTCTTCCATCAAATAAATGGTTTCAGAACCTGCATTCATGCTGATTCCATTGAATGAACACCTCATGAACTTCTCTCCTTCTCACACTTTTCCCCCCAGAATTTTTCCTATTCATTCTGACACTGAAATGCATCCTACACAAATCACTTTTTTTGAGGAGTTTTGGGACCGTGGCTTCATTGTGGAGACCACAAAGCCAAACAAGCCATTTCCAAGGCCAGGTGTGGATTATTGACACGTAGCACTTTTGGTGGGCTTCTCGGTGGCACTAGTGGTAAAGAATCCACCTGCCAATGCAAGAGATGTGGGTTCAATCCCTGGGTTGGGAAGA